TACTACGTACTACGTACTACGTACTACTACTACGTACTACTACTACGTACTACTACTACGTACTACTACTACGTACTACTACTACGTACTACGTACTACGTACTACTACTACTACGTACTACGTACTACGTACTACGTACTACGTACTACGTACTACGTACTACGTACTACATACTACATACTACGACTACGTACTACTACTACGTACTACTACTACGTACTACTACTACGTACTACTACTACGTACTACTACTACGTACTACTACTACGTACTACTACTACGTACTACTACTACTACGTACTACTACTACGTACTACTACTACTACGTACTACTACTACGTACTACTACTACGTACTACTACTACGTACTACTACTACGTACTACTACTACGTACTACTACTACGTACTACTACTACGTACTACTACTACTACGTACTACTACTACTACGTACTACTACTACGTACTACTACTACTACGTACTACTACTACGTACTACTACTACTACTACGTACTACTACTACGTACTACTACTACGTACTACTACTACGTACTACTACTACGTACTACTACTACGTACTACTACTACGTACTACTACTACGTACTACTACTACTACGTACTACTACTACGTACTACTACTACGTACTACTACTACGTACTACTACTACGTACTACTACGTACTACTACTACGTACTACTACGTACTACTACGTACTACTACGTACTACTACGTACTACTACGTACTACTACGTACTACTACGTACTACTACTACGTACTACTACTACTACTACTACTACGTACTACTACGTACTACTTACCATGTACAATGTACAGTGTACAGTGTACAGTGTACAGTGCATCATGTACATCATCATCACCATCACCATCACCATCACCATCACCATCATCATCCTCCTCCTCCTCATCCTCATCCTCATCTGCATCCTCATCCTCATCCTCATCCTCATCCTCATCCATTGTGGCCGCTGGGGGCGTAGCACTTTATCATCCGGAGACGCAGACGAATTCCGAAGACGAATTCATTTTCGAGGACCATTCCACCTGAAGACGCGAAGACGAATTCCCCGCAGACGAATTCCCCCCCCAAGACGAATTCCGAAGACGAATTCCTCCCCGAAGACGGATTCCGAAGACGAATTTGCCGCAGACGAACTCCTCCACGAAGACGAATTCCTCCCGAAGACGGATTCCGAAGACGAATTCGCCGCAGACGGATTCCTCCCCGAAGACGATTTCCTGGCCGAAGACGAATTCCTTCCACCTATAGCGCCCTGCACTTTTAAGCATGCGGCGCCAGGGGCCGTTTCTGTGGATTCAAGACCGTGCAAAGAAATGAACCAGCTTTATGAACCCCAAACCACTCTATGGAAAAATCAACTAATGCTGAATAAACCCGGGTCCGGATGTGCCTTCGAAGGGAATGTGGCGTCACAATGAGACGCCAGGAGGAGAATGTGTGGTAAGAATGTGGAATCACAAGGGAATGTGGCATCAGAATGTGGCACCAGGAGGGAATGTGGCGTCAGGGAATGTGTCGTCAGAAGGTGGCGTCAGGGAATGTGTCGTCAGAATGTGGCGTCAGGGAATGCGGCGTATGCGGCGTCACGGCATTTGGGAATGTGGCGTCACAATGTGTCGTCAGCATCAGGCACTAAAGTGCTACACCATTTGCGGGAACCCTGTCACCATCATCATCATCATCATCATCATCATCATCATCATCATCATCATCATCATCATCATCGCATACGCAGACCACACGCACACATACATACATACATACATACATATATATATACATATATATATATATACATATTTATATATACATACATATATATATACATATATATATACACATACATATATATATATACATATCACATGCGCAAGGCTAAACTTTATTTGAGGCCGCCTTGGAGCCGCTTCTACCACTGCTGGCGGAACGCCTTGGAGATGCCAATGTCAGCGGCCAAGGATGCCCACGGGGCCAATGATAATAACAACAATAAGAGTGATAGTGGTAGTGATAGTAATACTGATACTAATGCTGATGCTAGTGCAAACTTAAGATTATTACAATGGTTACTGTACTATAATTATTGATATTAAATATACTGATGTTAATAGTATTAACTAGGCTACGGCGCGGTTAGCGACCCGCGCTAATTCAGTGATTTTTCATGATGCTTGGTTCACTGAATCATGGTATTTGCAAGGTTTTGTAAAAACGTGATAAAAATGTGAAATCGTAGTTACTTTGGGGCCTACAACAAAAAGTGCGTTTCGTGTGAAACGTTCATCGATTTTCAATACCCCTGAAACGTATTATTGTTTTTTTTCGTTTTGTTGGAGAAAATTAGTAACATCTGAGCACCAGGCATTGAGCAACACTTCTTTTTCAACTTACCTTGCAAGGTCATCAGCGTCGACTTTTTTGGCCAGCTTTCCCAGTTCCTTCCACAGGTTATGACCTGCATTATGTCTGTACATGAAGGCTTTAATCTGGTCCAGCAAGCGACGGTCGACACGGCGATCGAACTTCCCGCGAGTTCGCAGGTTGGAAACAACGAATTGTTTCAGAATTTTCCAAAAGCTATCCAACAGCTGGGTTCCTGTAAAGAGTTTTTTCCTTGGAACCTTCTTCACAAACTGCATTCGACTATGTGATACAGAGGAAAACTGAAAACCGGCCTTTTTGGCCTCCGCCTTCCACGCTCGGTTGCCATCCGCGTGGATGCGGGTGCCACGGCCTCGTTGGATCTTCTCGAAAAACCGAGTCTGGTTCACGTCATGCGACGACTCGGTCGGTGGACGAGCACCTGGAGTCAAAGCGACGAGTGGCAAAACGTCCAGCAGGACTCGGCCTGCCGGTCCACGCTCAATGGCGCCGGCAACCCTCAAGTGACATATAAAATGCGTCGGTTTGCGGGCATTCTTGTGCTTGGCCTGCCACTTGCGAATCTCAGGCGCGAAGCTTTGCGACGAGGCTCCAAAGCGAAATGTGCGAATCGAGGTCGCATCCACTTCGATCTGCAACATTGACACGTCCGGATTGAGAAGAAAACACAGGTGAACACATTTGCTTCAAAAAAAGCTATGCGGACGACAAATTTGACTAGGTTTGCAGGTGGTACACATGTGTTTGAGAAAAGGCATTTTTTTTTTAAACTTCCCCACCTGACCAGACAGCTTCATGTCCTTCAACTGTCGCTCGGCAGCTTGAACTTCCATGGAACGCAGGTGATCAAAAATGCATTGAGCGGCTTTGGGAGGCACTCCAAAGGCAGTGGCATCTTGTCTCCTGGGATTCTGCTTGTGTGTGTAGGCTTGAATGGTGAGATACAAACGGCTCGGATTGATGCAACGAAAGCGTACCATGTTCTTCAACCAGCGGCAGCCAGCGAGGACGTTGGTGTAAGCCCTGCATTCTTTGACATCACAGCGGTAGTAGAGCTGTCCATTTTCCTTCGACCCGGGACGGGTGAAGAAGCCATGCAAACCACCATGCCCACATTTGTCACAAGTGTCGAGCTTGGTCAGAAAACCAGCAGCAAGCAAAGTTTGGGTAGCACATTGTGTGTCCACAGAGTGCGACAAGTCCGGTGTTTCTTGCGCCCGGTCTTTGCGACTGGAGTGCACTTTCTCAGAAGTCCCGGAATACCACTTCCTCTGTTTTTTTTGCCACTTCTTCATGTCCTTCATGCTTCGCATGGCCTTGGGACTGGAGAAAGCAGCTTTCTTGCCAGGCTTTCGGCTGGCTGCCACTCCATCCCCACGAAGTACCCGAGCCTTCCGCTTGAGGTGACATGGTCTCACTGAACGCAAGGCGTCTCGGTACCTTTGAGCACCGGGAAGAGTACACGTGGCCACATTGTGGTCTTTGCCGCCGCACAAAGAGCATGTCTTTTTCAAATTGGCAGGCATCGCTCCAAGCGACGCTGCCGTCTGTGGATCCAAAAAACTCCGGTCGAGCGATCTCAAAGCAACCGGCTCATGTCATGATGCCACTTTCCAACATGCAAGTCACTGTTGAGTCACATGCCACTTCTAGCATTCCGTGAATAAATTTATTCATTCGTTTAGTTTATAAATATATATATATACATATGTATATATATATAGATACATATATTGAATGTATATGTGCTACAGAAACCGCATACTGCATCTGCTCACCTAAGTTTTCGAGGCATTCGCGGAGTCTTGTCTTAAAATGTTCACCCTCGAATTGCATTTCGGCGCAGGGCCGCCGGCAACTGAGACCATTTGTCTCGCATCCATCGAGGCAAGTCATCCCAGCGATTTGCTGGAACTGGCATTGACCAGAAGCATAATCTCTCCCCCTGAGAGTTGCGCTTCTGGAATCTGCTACACAGGAGCCAAATTTGTCCTGCTTTGTTGCCACTGCCGTAGAGATGAGGAGCCAAGCTATAAAAACACTGCTCACAGCGACCCCACTTGGTCTTGCCCCAATCTCTTTCCAAAACTGCTTGCGTGCTCTCAGCATGTGCAGGCCAAGACTCACGGCACAAACGCTGAGCATGCCAATTCTCAAAAGAAGTTGCCGAGGTAAACACAGACGTCCTAGAAGGTGGACTCCGGGCACTTACCTGTGCCATGGCCGTAGAGGAAGAAGCAGTCGAGGACATAGGGACTTCTGTGTCCGGAGCATTGCTGTGCGCCATCTCTCTTCGAGCCATAGCACGCAACTTTTCGCGGCGATGCGGAGGCGAATCATCTGAACGGGGCTGGGATAAGGAAGCTTCTTCTTCAAGGTCACTCTGGTCCATGTCATTCTGACAGTGAAGCTGCTCATCACTGCAAGACAGATCCAAATCAATGACATCCGTGGAAGCGACATTTGCCAGTTGGTTTCCCCAGCTGTGAGAAAGTTCTTGCGGCGTTTTCAATGACCTGAGTTTGACGCAGAAATGTCATGGACATGTTGATAGAAGAAAACCGACGTGCAGTGCTCTTCATTTCAAAACTTGCTGGAAAAAACCAAGACACTGCACATACGACGAAAATTCGGATCCATGTAAAGACTGCAGGGCAACATGGCATTGCTCTTCCCACGAAGGCAACAACTCGCTCCCATAGCCAACTTCACGTGGCATTTCTCGTCTCTTCTGCAACGTCTCTCCAGCACTCAAGACCGCAGTGGGCAAGGGAATATGGCGGCGAACATACTGAAACCACATACTTTTGACTAAGAGCTGGCCCGCCAGTAAGGAATGCCAATCATATGCGGTGACAACGACACTGGGAACATGCTGACCGCAGCAGTCACACAAAAATTGATGCAAGTCCATCATGTCCCCCGTGAACACTTTGGCCCACCGGGAAAAGAGAGGAGGGAAAACCACACCTCCACATCTCAACAGTATGAGATATGTCAAAGCATCTAAACACTTTGACAGCGGTAGCATGATGCCTATACGAATTGAACCCCACTGCGACATCGACAGCCAAATCATGCTGATCAAAGTGAGTGCTGAGGTCAAAATAAACGTTTCGATAGCCACATTCTAAGAAAACCATCTTTTCTTGATAAACTTACCAATTATTCTATGAACCAAACCCCACCATTGGTCAGCCAAAATCATGCCAAGTCCCAGATAGCTGAGGTGCCCACCTGGGCGTTGCAAGGACAATGTTTCAAATCATGACTGTTCAGCAGACCCGCATTGATCAGTACTTTATTATTACTAGAAATCCGTCCGACCCGCACAAGGGCGAGCGCAATAAGCTGGCGTAGCATCAACTTCCAGGGACGCAAGTTAACATGAACGTTAACATCCCCACCCCACCCCAACCCAGTGACGTGACGTCAGTGGTGCATGTGACGCAAGTTAACATGAACGTTAACATCCCCACCCCACCCCAACCCAGTGACGTGACGTCAGTGGTGCATGTGACGCAAGTTAACATGAACGAACGCATGTGACGCAGTTAACCATCCCCACCCCAACCCAGTGACGTTGACGTCAGTGCTGCATGTGACGCAAGTTAACATGAACCCCAGTGACGTGACGTCAGTGGTGCATGTGACGCAAGTTAACCGTTAACATCCCCCCCCCACCCCAACCCAGTGACGTGACGTCAGTGGTGCATGTGACGCAAGTTAACATGAACGTTAACATCCCCACCCCACCCCAACCCAGTGACGTGACGTCAGTTGTGCATGTGACGCAAGTTAACATGAACGTTAACATCCCCACCCCACCCCAACCCAGTGACGTGACGTCAGTTGTGCATGTGACGCAAGTTAACATGAACGTTAACATCCCCACCCCACCCCAACCCAGTGACGTGACGTCAGTGCTGCATGTGACGCAAGTTAACATGAACGTTAACATCCCCACCCCACCCCAACCCAGTGACGTGACGTCAGTGGTGCATGTGACGCAAGTTAACATGAACGTTAACATCCCCCCCCCACCCCAACCCAGTGACGTGACGTCAGTGGTGCATGTGACGCAAGTTAACATGAACGTTAACATCCCCACCCCACCCCAACCCAGTGACGTGACGTCAGTGTGCATGTGACGCAAGTTAACATGAACGTTAACATCCCCACCCCACCCCAACCCAGTGACGTGACGTCAGTGGTGCATGTGACGCAAGTTAACATGAACGTTAACATCCCCACCCCACCCCAACCCAGTGACGTGACGTCAGTGGTGCATGTGACGCAAGTTAACATGAACGTTAACATCCCCACCCCACCCCAACCCAGTGACGTGACGTCAGTGGTGCATGTGACGCAAGTTAACATGAACGTTAACATCCCCACCCCACCCCAACCCAGTGACGTGACGTCAGTGGTGCATGTGACGCAAGTTAACATGAACGTTAACATCCCCACCCCACCCCAACCCAGTGACGTGACATCCGTGGTGCATGCATCAATTTGAAGAGCAACTTGCCTCCAATCACAAAAAATGCCAAAAACGCAGGGGGTCGTTAATGGCGCCGTAGGCATTAACTAGTGATGATCTGCATAATAGTTGATCAACCTCAAGCATGTTGGATGGGTTGAGATCTACCCTCTCAAAAATGGAGAATATATAGGGATGAAACCTCAAAACACTTGGATGATTTCACACAAGAAAGGCAAAATTCGTGGGTCCATTGCTACCCCGATGATTCATGAGTCATATAAAATCAGTCGCTTCATGCGCCTGTTCAAACCATTGTTGCTTACCGGATCTTAGGCACGAGCAGAAAAAACGGCCCGCGATGTGCACTTGGATTTGGCGAGAAGTGTTGCCTGGCGGTATGAGATCTCCGCCGGATGGCCAGTAACACGTATTCGGTTCAGGTTGATTATTTGCGACTTTGACAGTCATGTCAACCCCTGATTAGAAAACGTGTGGGTTGTGAAATTGAGGTGGTTTATCAATCTTGAGGTGGTATTCTACCAATGACCGAGCAGGGGTTTATGAATCCGGAGTTCGGATTTCTTAGCAATGATAGCGTTGCAGATTCTCGCCCTTCGTTGGCCCTGAAAAGAAACTGTCTGTATCCATTTGCAGTTTTGTTGTCCCACATTTATGTTCATTTTCGGTCAAATCGTCTTCTTAGGTTGGAGCAGCCTTTTCTTCCAACCACCTATTGCGAGCTCCAAAGAAGAAGCAAAACCTTCAAGTTTGATCGGCAAATGTCGGCAACATCCAAGTGACAGTGCCTCAACCACCTAGATGTGAATTCAGTGTACTGATGCTGAGTTCTCCAAAGGCAGAAGTAAACTACAGGAATATACTATGTATGCTGCATCACAGGACTTAAACTCAGGTTCAGCATGGGTCAGCCACGTCCTTTCGACTGGGCTTAGCCAGGACCGTTCCTCCACGTGTCTATTCCTCTCGCCTGCAGCTTTTAGCGGCATTGGTCACGGAGGCCGGCGGATTGGTCGAAACGAAACCTATTATTTTCCATAAATTTCGGGGATGGATCCATACATTGTTTACATGATGATCAATTGCTATGAACTGATGTTCCGATCTTCATCATTTCAGGATTTTGCTGGGTTTTGACCAATTTTTGACACATCCCCGGTGAATCGATGCCCAGTTTGGCGTGCAGCCAAAACAACCCTCCGGCCTTGCCCTGGAGTCTGTGGCCCACTTGGCGATGGCGCGAGTGTGATTGTTTTTGGGGCTGGAGGAAGTTCAGCTGATAACATGTTCAGCAGCTTAATTCCTGGAATACTGTAAGGAATATTAGTTAAATATGAATGGAAAGCTGATGGAAGTGGAATATTGATGGAATATGAATGAACATTTGATGATCTCTCATGAGATTGATGGTACTCAGTGTCATTCCAGTCGGGTACGGACGCACATCGACATTTTTGGGCACAGGAATGGTTCAGCAATCCTGCAGCCGAAGTCCGGGAGAGCGCAGTTCGACTGAGACATGGCTGCAAGCAGTCTGGAACTGTTGGAAGATAGGAAGGCCATAGCAGACCCTTGAAATGTGGCTGCAGAATGGTGCAAATCCTATTTGGGAGCCCTGTGCTCCTGTAAACTGAGGCATAAAGTCATAGGATCCCAAAGATCTCCACATGAAACATCCCTTTGGAACGGCAGCCATCATTTGAGGATTGCCGCGTGCCTACACCTCAGCCATGTTGTGAGTACTGCATGGGACATCGGACATGACGAGTCGAGGATGGGTCAATATATGGCCCAGGTTTTTGTTTTTGTTGTTTTTTTTTGTTGCTTTTGTTTGTTTGTTTGGTTGGTTGGTTGGTTGGTTGGTTGGTTGTTGTTGTTGTTGTTGTTGCTGTTGCTGTTGCTGTTGTTGTGGTTGTGGTTGTGGTTGTGGTTGCGGTTGCGGTTGCGGTTGCGGTTGCGGTTGCGATTGCGGTTGCGGTTGCGGTTGCGGTTGTTGTTGTGGTTGTTGTTGTTGTTGTTTGTTGGTTGTTGGTTGTTGGTTGTTGGTTGTGGTTGTTGGTGGTTGGTTGGTTGGTTGGTTGGTTGGTTGGTTGGTTGGTTGGTTGGTTGGTTGGTTGGTTGGTTGGTTGGTTGGTTGGTTGTTGTTGTTGTTGTTTTTGTTTAACTACGCATCCATCTTGTGCTTTGAAGGCACCATAGGTTACCTAATGCTGACTGATTCTGACAGATTCTCAAGTCTTCAAGTCATATGCTCTTCAGGCTATGCACATGTCGGTCTTGGACGTATTGAGAAGTCTGGCTCTCACTGTGAGGATGTTGAACAGGGAAAGCGCAAGGGTGAAGACTTGACAGACTTGGGGGAGCTGTTTGACATGCCTTTACTGTCGTTTATTGCCCCCATGCACTGGTCATCATGATCGAGCCGCCATGTTTGGTCAAAGGTATCCAATTGGGGTGCTATTTTTTGGTTTTTTGTTTTCCAGCCTGGCTTTGTGGCTTTTGTGGCTTTTGTGGCTTTTTGGCTTCTGTGGGTGTATGGCTTTTGTGGCTTTACCATGCTTTACCTACCTATCTATCTATCTATCTGTCTATCAATCTATCAATCAATCAACCAATCTATCTATCTGTCTAACCTAACCCAATCTAATCTAATCTTATCTAAACCTACCTAATCTTATCTTATCTTATCTTGTCTTGTCTTATCTAATCTAATCTAATCTAATCTAATCTATCTATCTATCAATCAATCTATCTATCAATCAATCTATCTATCTATCCATCTATCTATCTATCTATCTATCTATCCATCTATCTATCTATCTACCTATCTATCTATCTATCTACTCTATCTAAACTATCTATCTAATCTATCTAATCTATCTAATCTAAACCATCTATATAATCTATCTGACCTATCTAAACTATCTAATCTAATCTAATCCAAAATCTAAATCTAAATCTAATCCTAAATCTAATCCTGAATCTAATCCATAATCTAATCCTCAATCTAATCCCTAATCTAATCCTTAACCCAATCCTCAATCTAATCCTCAACCTAATCCTTAACCTAACTCTTAATCTATCCTTAATCCAATCTAATCCTTAATCGAATCCTTCATCTAATCCTTCATCTAATTTTTAGTCTAATCCTTAATCCAATCCTTAATAATCTAATCCTAATTTTTAGTCTAATCCTAATCCTTAATCGAATCCTTAATCTAATCCTCAATCTAATCCGGATCTAATCCTGAATCTAATCTTAATCTAATCCTTAATCTAACCCTTAGTCTAATCCTCAATCTAACCCCCAATCTAATCATTAATCTAATCCTCAATTTAATCCTCAACCTAATCCTTAACCTAATTCTTAATCTAATCCTCAACCTAATCCTTAATCTAACCCTTAACCTAATCCTTAATCGTCTTAATCTAATCCTTAATCTAATCCTTAATCGAATCCTTCATCTAATCCTTAATCTAATCCTTAATCTAACCCTTCATCTAATCCTTCATCTAATCCTTAATCTAATCCTTAACCCAACCCGCAATCTGATCCTGACTCTAATCCTGAATCTGATCCTTAATCTAATCCTTAACCTAATCCTCTCTCTCAATCTAATCTAATCTAATCTACTCTAATCTACTCTAATCTAATCTAATCTAATCCAGCATAATCTAATCTAATCTAATCTAATCTTATCTAATCTAACCTAATCTAATCTAATCTTATCTCATCTAACCTAATCTAATCTAATATATCTATCTACCTATATATCTGACCGATCTAATCTATCTAGCCTATCCAACCTATCCAACCTATCTAATCTATCTAATCTATCTAATCTATCTAATCTATCTACCTATCTACCTACCTACCTATCTACCTATCTATCCATCCATCCATCGATCTATCTATCTATCTATCTTTCTTTATATCCACACCTTCTATTCCTACATGTACCTTAATCCAACCCTCAACAGACTTTAAATAGACACTGAACCATCCCTAAATAACTCTAAATAGCCCTAAATAACGCTAAATAAACCCTAAACCAACCCTAAATAAACCTTAAATAAACCTTGAACCAACCCGAAAAAAAACCTAAACCAACCCGACATAACCAACCCTAAATAAACCCTAAACCAACCCTAAATAAACCCTATACCAACTTTAAATAGACCCTAAACCAACCCAAAATAAACCCTAAACCATCTCTAAATAACTGTGGATAAACCCTAAGCCAACACTAACTAAACCTTAAACCAACCCTAAACCAACACTAAATAAATCCTAAACCAACCCTAAACCAATCCTAAATGACCCTAAACCAACCAACACTATGATAGCATCCAATGCCACTATTTAGACCTAACACGGTTGTGCTTCAACCTATATGCTACATGTTCACAAGGTGCATGTTATGCATGGAAAAATCAATTGAACCCATGGAAAAATCAATTGAAACCATTGCAAATTCAATGAAACCTTTGGAAAAATCGATGAAAACATTGGGTAAATCAATGAACACCATGGAAAAATCGATGAACAGTGCAAATGGCAAATTTTAGTTCCAAAATTCAGCAAAGTACAGGTTTTTGCTTCAAAATGTAGCAAAGAGCAAGGAAAAGTGCCCCAAACTGAAAAAAAACAAAATTTAACAAACAAAAACAAAAAAAATATGCACCCTATTCAATTCCTGTAAGTACTTCAATTACTGGAGTTTTGCGAACATATTCACAGTACAGTATCCTGTTGCTCTGGGCAACTCGGCTGGTTGTTGCGAACCTCCAGCAGTGTAATGCTCCGGCATACTGAAAAACTCGCTTAGACCAAGGTATCTTGCCAATCTTCGGCAGGCGAGCGCAACATCAGTTTTTTTTTGTTGTTTCTTGCAACGTGTCCATCGACTTGATGAGTTTCACCCAAAACATAAGCTCTACGTGCACTTTGGTTTTGGTCACTTTGATGTATCTCGGCAGACTCGGCAGGACTTGTCTCCTTTTCAAGCTACCTCTGAATCCAGGCGCAGCGTGAAGTCTTTGATGCGGAGTTCCAGCGAGTGAATGGAGTGCGGGCAGGGAGCTCGAGCGATGGCAATGGCATCCTATGACATATGAAAATAACATTGATGTTTTTTTGTTCACCTGGTGGTATGTTTTTTCCAAAATTGTGGGGCACTCAACTCTGGCATTGGCATTTTCATGGTGGAAAAAAACAAGTAGCACAGTCAGAACCAGTGTGCGCCGTGGAGATTGAGGTGCCCGCTACTCCACCTGTTGCACCAACTCCACCACGGGGCCAAGGCATCTCAGCTAGAGGAGCTCTGAAACATAGTCACATTTGCGGCAATAGAAGTGATGAAAAAAATCAGCAAACAGAAACTTGATGTTTGTCATGCTCAAGCCAATGCTAGCTGAAGTCTGACTCGCGAATTAAAGCCTCTTTCGTCTCTGTCAAGAATCTCTGGACAGTCATGGCAGCTATCACCTTGCCAGTTTGCTCACGATGCGAGCGCAGTGGACACGTGGCCGCGAACTGTCCCAAATCCTTTTTCAAAGTCTGTGCCTACTGCAAAGAGGTGGGTCATGTGGCGAAGTCGTGCCCAAAGGCTCTGGCAAAAGACGTGGCAGCCCTTGATGATTCCAGCAGCACGATCTCAACCAGCTCCCGAAGCACTGCTGCGACTTCGGCGATCTCTAGAGCAGCAAAGGTTGCAGGGCCAAAGGAAGACGTGAAGATCAGCGGGCTAAAAAGAGACAAGGGAGGTCGCAGCCGGAAGGAAGCTGCACAACCTGAGAAGCTTTTGTTGCTGGATCCCAGATCCCAGTCTTTGAGTGAAGTGGAGGAGTTAGAAGCTCGAAAGCTCGAAAAGAAATTGCGTGAAATCGCAGCTCTGGAAGAGAAGCGCGATGCTGGAGCGCGGCTGGATGTTCTCCAGATCAAGAAACTGGAGTCCAGGGCAGAGCTGGAGGATCGCAGTGTGATGCGCAAGGTTCGCTTGGGATATGCCCGTCTTCGACTGGAAAGTGACAGGTAGTTCCAGAGCTTTCAGCTGGCTAAGTGTTGATTTCTGAGTCTCACTTTGCAGGGGTACGAGAAGTTCTTGTGCAGTGTACAGAGCTCCCCCCGGCACTTTCAGGTTTCCAAACTCCAGTGCCTGCCCCTTGGCAGCTCAACCCTTGAGCTGGATGTGAGCAAGAGTGGGTCGACGCAAAAGCAGCCTGATAGCCACTGATAGCCTTCGTTTGGACGTGTCAGTTTGAGGCCGTTATAAAGAGCCAGTGTGTTGCTTGAATCATGATCGGATTCGTTCATCTCAGCTAGAGGAGCTCTGAAACATGGTCCATTTGCGGCAATAGAAGTGATGAAAAAAATCAGCAAACAGAAACTTGATGTTTGTCATGCTCAAGCCAATGCTAGCTGAAGTCTGACTCGCGAATTAAAGCCTCTTTCGTCTCTGTCAAGAATCTCTGGACAGTCATGGCAGCTATCACCTTGCCAGTTTGCTCACGATGCGAGCGCAGTGGACACGTGGCCGCGAACTGTCCCAAATCCTTTTTCAAAGTCTGTGCCTACTGCAAAGAGGTGGGTCATGTGGCGAAGTCGTGCCCAAAGGCTCTGGCAAAAGACGTGGCAGCCCTTGATGATTCCAGCAGCACGATCTCAACCAGCTCCCGAAGCACTGCTGCGACTTCGGCGATCTCTAGAGCAGCAAAGGTTGCAGGGCCAAAGGAAGACGTGAAGATCAGCGGGCTAAAAAGAGACAAGGGAGGTCGCAGCCGGAAGGAAGCTGCACAACCTGAGAAGCTTTTGTTGCTGGATCCCAGATCCCAGTCTTTGAGTGAAGTGGAGGAGTTAGAAGCTCGAAAACTCGAAAAGAAATTGCGTGAAATCGCAGCTCTGGAAGAGAAGCGCGATGCTGGAGCGCGGCTGGATGTTCTCCAGATCAAGAAACTGGAGTCCAGGGCAGAGCTGGAGGATCGCAGTGTGATGCGCAAGGTTCGCTTGGGATATGCCCGTCTTCGACTGGAAAGTGACAGGTAGTTCCAGAGCTTTCAGCTGGCTAAGCGTTGATTTCTGAGTCTCACTTTGCAGGGGTACGAGAAGTTCTTGTGCAGTGTACAGAGCTCCCCCCGGCACTTTCAGGTTTCCAAACTCCAGTGCCTGCCCCTTGGCAGCTCAACCCTTGAGCTGGATGTGAGCAAGAGTGGGTCGACGCAAAAGCAGCCTGATAGCCACTGATAGCCTTCGTTTGGACGTGTCAGTTTGAGGCCGTTATAAAGAGCCAGTGTGTTGCTTGAATCATGATCGGATTCGTTCCATGATTCGTTCCATGCACGGGTTGCTCCTCCGCTTGTCCCAGTTGCCGTGGCCAGGAGTATCGGCGGCATCCTTCCAGGCCTACGCCGGGGTAGAATCCTCCGATGAGGCGCGGCACTGGCACAATACCAATCCATCAGTCACGGAATCCGTTTTAAGCCTTGGTGAGCTGCAATCATTTCATGTTTTTTTTGGTTGTAGATGGTGAAAACCAGCATGTTTGATGAGGCGACCTTGACAGCTTTGTTTGTACACATATCATTACACGTAACATATGCAACAAGTTTCTTGCTGCAAGGGGCAGGTTTTTTTATTGTGCAGGTGGTTGGTAACACGAGTTGGTTTGCACTCTGTTCAGCTGGAAATAGCAAGTGGCCATAGCAAGAGGCCCTCCTCGACGTCGGTCAAAACATGCGAATTCACCGCTCTGAGTGCAGGAATTTGAGGAAGGTTTGAGCGATTTCCGGTGTGAATTTTGTGGCCGAGAGGATTGGGTTTCGCTGGTGCAAAACGTTTGTTGTCAAATCCATCGTTTTCACATGTGTTCACTTTGTGTGAATATCTGGGCATGGATGTGGAAACATGTCGATAAAATTGTGAGCCAATTTATTTGAAAAGTTGGCGTCCCTCAAGGACAATGTTCGCAGCCATCAGAAAACAAATGAAACGAAACAGACGGCGAACCAAAAAATTGAAATTGTGGGCGAACAATATCTTTGCCTGATGTTTCGCAGGACCCCAATTTCACTCTGCCAGCGCTTGATATTCATTATTGGCGTGAGTGTCCAATGCTCGCAGCATGTCAGCACTGCGAACAAGCGCTGGACTCAGCGGCGTGCTTGAAATCAAACGATTTTTGGATGAAACTCTTTGCAACTTTTTGTGTGACACGGTTTTTTTCTGCGGATATCAAAGCGCGGTTTGTGCGTGGGTCCGTTCAGACATGTTCAGTAGACTGGATCCATTTTACATTATGTTTCTATCTGAAAGGTCTGCACGCGCTTTAAAAACACGATGGGCTCACAATGACGAGGGCTTTACAAATTTTCCAGGTGATTGAGATTTCCCGACTGCACTGGCACTGGCTCGAGGACCCCAAAATCCTTTACCCGTTCTCTTAAAGTCCAGATTGCACGTAAGACTCCAAAAACATCAAAAACCAATGCGTTGTTTGGGAAATTGCTGAACAGCACGCGAAAGGAGTGCGAGAAGGGCGAAGCTGCCATTGCAGACGCACGTCGCCTGCACCCCGACAGGCAGGTTGCAGATTTTCACATTTTTCACTTTCAAATCGCGGAAACACCAGTCACAACATGTCACAACATGTCACAACATGTCACAACATGTCACAACATGTCACAACATGTCACAACATGTCACAACATGTCACAACCTTTCTATACCTGTCGTGTTTCAGGTGTCCACTTTGCCAGGGACGAGTGTGCAGAAGTGGAGTGCCGGAGGAGCATGACTGGTGGGTGATCCCAGCACAGATGAGGCTTAGGCCCTAAGGCATCTGATATTTTAAGTGGTGCACCTGAATCTAGAGCTCAATCCTTTGTTTGTTCTCAAATATGGAGGGTGGGCAATCTAGAGTTTAAAACATGAGTGGAACATATTGGAACAAGAATATGAATGATAATGTTTTAATGTGGAAATCCACACGTTGAGCGTGATGTATCTTGAAGCGCTCGCTGTAGGCAAGAGCATCTCCTTGTGAAGGGGTGCCCATCAAATCCTCGTGGCCGTCAAAGTTTCAGATGATGCCGAAAAGGTTTCAGCGAGGCAGAAAAGAAAGAGACTGGCATTTCGACCAAAGAAGAATTGAAGGAACACATAATTTGTTTAGCGCAACACCAACAATGGGTTTGTCAGACACGGGGTCGGTATATCCCAATTTGTGGTAATCGGGGAAAATGAGATTCAAAACCATGGGATTTCAGGGTATATTGTTAGTCAAACCCAAAGCAGAATGCCATGCTTGGTGGATCTCTTTGTGCTCTGCCGTGAAGACAGCACTTGGGTTTGCTGCATCCTGCTGTGCTCAGCAGAGTGTCCAGTGTCCAATACCGCACAGAGGCAACCAACAAAACCAGCAACAAAACCACCAAAAGTCGCCTCAGATGTTGGCGTTTCAAGGGGGATCTGGGCAGTTAAAGTCTGCGTGAGCCTGAGATGGGGTCTTCTCAGAAGCCATGCGGAGGAAAAACGCGGCAGACTTGTGATGTGCTGCTGAAGTTCCATGCTAAACAGAAAAGATCAGAAAAGTAGGCAGCATGTGGAATGTCGGATTGAAATTGGCCGACCCTTGCGGACTTGACGGTACTTGGGAAGATTTGGGAAATGAGACACAGGCTGCTGCCATTGAAACGGGCGAGGGTGCATGGCTACTTGGGCAGCAAGTTGCTTCGTCGGTTTCTGTTCGATCGAACACCGATTGAAACTTGGTAAACCGAGGTCCAGCCCGGTCTTTATGGCCTGCAACCGCCTGTGGAGCAGCCTGGGCTGCAGTTTGCTTTGTTCTTTTGGTCGACTAGACCTTTAGGGCCTCACACTGGCTTTGCTTAGTATCACTTGACATCACTTATTATATAATAATCTTATATAATCTTATATAATCTTATATACTCGTATCTACAATATATATCTTATAATATCTTATAATCTTATAAAACTGATCTGAACTGTGCCAGATACGATATGCAGTTCTACAGTTCGACAAGATTGAAACTTGCATGTGCGGACTTATGTCAAATCCAGGTATTCGCCTTGGAAAGCACAGTAGTACAGCAACCTCACTGCATCTTGGAGCGCCATAACTTGGGTTTTGCCTTGTTCAGCGAGTTTGCACAAGCCTTTGTAGTGGATAGCCAATATTTGCGCACCTCCGTTTGGATTGCCGTGGAACTTGCAAGTTTATGAACACATATGTATGTTTGACATCCATAATCATATTCTATAGCTTGTACACATGCTAGGATTTTCGCATAACAAACCCACTAGGTTAGACACTGGCCGGATCAGTTCGGGCATTTGTTATTTCCAGAAAGAATGGATCATGGGTGATTAACTCTGTGGAGGATTGCACTTTTATGGACCTTTATGCACCTGCATGGGGATGGGTCAAAACCTATTACCATATTTGGGGAATAAACGTCCATGGGTCCATCAACCAGCTATTCTAGGGTACCCAGGTTACCAGGGTTTTGACTCATAGCCATATACAAATACACAGTATATATATATATGTGTGTATATATATATATATATTATCGCTCTCTCGCTGAGGTACTTTTGCATACTACCTCATGGCCACAAAGACAGACTTAGGCCGTGGCCAGCTTTCGACAGCTGAGTGTCGATGTTCCATCCGAGATGTCAGGTGCTGGTTGATCTTTGCACGTCCCCCTGGCAAAGGCTACAAGGATTGAATCACTTCCCGTTTCCGCGTTTTGACATCATATGACATCATTGCAAAACTGCTTTCAGCACCACTGGAATTGTGGTTTTGTTTTTGGAGAGGGCAACAATGTCAGAAGCCCTTTGGCTTGGTTTATGGTAGCCAACTTATATAGTACAAACAGTCAGGTTGCACTCAGTGAGAATCAAACCCTGGTTCACCCACTAAGAACCAAGCCAATAAGGGTCACATGTTGCAACTCCACTTGTCGGTCTCGCGACACCATATCCATGCCATTCCATACCAGGGTTACCAGTCCCATCCGCACCCGATGCCAGGAGTGGCCGGTGCATGATTGGCCACCAGAGCTAGCTGGCCATCCATGGGGGTGCGCCTGGTTCATGACTGGAGGTATGTGTGGAGATCCAACAATTGGACCTATGGGAACCAATTTTTTCATGTCAGCTTGGAAGAGCCAGGCCCAGTGTGCCACTGGAAGAAATCGAAGACTACAAGCAGGCAGACACGCCCCTGCAGGGTTGCAAGATGTTGCGCATCTTGGTCCGATTTTATTTACATCTTGGATCATCCGGATGTTTTTTTTGCCTCGGATCACTGACAGGTTGATGGCTCCATTTTGCTGCTGGTACATGCTACGGGCTTGCAGGCAGAGTCTTTGATGGTGACATATCCATCTTCAGAGCTATCCGGTTATCCCAAACTAGAAGGCATTTCGTCGCAGGACTTTCAGTCCAAACATATCTTTGCCCCCATGTGACGAATCATACACAGCACTTCTCCCTTTCAATAGCCAGGCCATTCAAATACGCCAGAGTGTCAGTTTTGGCTGCTATTTGCAAACTTCCCAGATGCACCTCGAAATTATACGGAAGACTGAAGACTGCTAAAAATTGATGTCGCTAGGGATCAGACAGTCCGAGAGTATTTTTTTTTCTTGGCTCCTACATCTTCCACGACACCATTCAGCGCGATTGAGCCATGAGTATTGCAATCTTCCAGGCTGTGGCCACTGAGATCCACTTCAAGAATTGGTCCAAAGAGCTGAAGAGCTTTATGAATGGCAAGAAAACAGAGGATTACCTCCTCCGTGACAGGCCGCTTCATGTTACTAAATCTTTGTTGGAGTTTTGGGATCCTTTTTTGTCGTTGACGTTTACTTCAACGTTGGGGCTGATTTCTTGCAACATGTTGCAGCTCTGATGTGAATTTCTTGTGGTAATCGGCAGCAAAACGATGGCGGAAGACTTACAAACAACAACTTTTTAAACAGATGATTTCAAAGAAATTCAGACAGCGACATTGCTGAAAGGCATGGCAACAACATTCCATGGCTGGACAGCATCGAGCGAATAGAGCCCCCAGCTGCAGATAACTTTCCGCTGGTCATCCTGCACCGGCAGGCAGGGAAATGGTGTGCACGTGCAGTCACGTGGAGCAAGACTATTATTCACAGATCAGTTCCTCAAACCAGACCCAGACACTTGAAGTTGTCACTGGAATGCAAAAGGACAAGATATTGGGTTTGGATGGCTGTGGTGATTGGAAGTGGAAAAGACCCGCACTTGAAATTCTAGGTGATTTGGGTGCATGGCCTTTTTGAATCCTCCCGGTTTCAGACAGCACGATGTGTCGTGCGAATGCCTTGCAGGAGTGAGACGGTGGATATTTGGAGCGAACAATCATGGCCAACCATGAAGGAATTGGGACCAGGTTCAACCTGGCAATCCGTGAGTCCTGAAATCGATTGGTCTGACCTCGGGAGGGATCTCTTGATCATTCCAAGGCGAGGAAAGGATAGGACAGGTCTCAGATTTTGGGAGGTCAAATCTATTGTGAAGTCATGAGACTTCAGATGGGTCTTGTTTTTTGATTCTTGAGATGTTTTGAGAATTGGACGCCCAAGTTTGAGATAGAACCTGTTGAACCTCAGGGGAGGTCAGCACATGTTGACTGCGGAGTGTGCGAAATGGCTGCCATGAAACCCATGAGGTTTATGCGTGAGACCTGACGGGGAAAGCAATTTCTTCAATCTACATGTTGAGTGAGTTTCAAGGAACTGGAATCTGAATTATCGGGGTAAACAATTTCACCACCAGACGTTTCGTCTCAGGTATAGTGCTGTGGCTTCTCAAAGGCCCCTCAGCGGCGATGGCTGAAACCACGGGCACTCTGGTGTAAACAGAGTATGGTTTGGGCAGATGTTTGGTCGCACACTTCTTCCCTTACCGAAAGGATGAGTTGTCAACATTTTGCCAGGCGTTTGTTTCTTATAATGTAAATATAGATGACAATATATATATATTATATAATGATATAAACACATTAATATATATATATGTATGACATCTGATATGTACACAGAGATAGAGATATGACAAATATAAACAGCAACACGAGAAAATTCCCCGCGGTCTCCTCCATGAGATGAGACACGCTTGGGCCCCAGTTTGGGGAAATCTGCAGGAGTTGCCTATCCTTGGGGGTAAAGAAAACCATTTAAAAAACAATGGTTCCACAAGTTGGGATAGTTGGGATAGTTGGGATAGTTCGGATTTGAGAGGAGCTGCAATTTTGTTCAAAAGAAATTTATGAAATTTATAACGTTCAACAGGTACCCAGTGTCACCATTTTGTCGCTGAACTTGTGTCACAATTGTCATATTCATAAGGAGCCACGCATTCAATCTGGGTAAATTATAACGACCTCACTGCGACCTCACTGGAATCATGGTTAGTAAGGGGAATCATCCCAAAATGGCCTTAATTCAGGTTAGTGAAATATTATAATTTACCCAGATTCAAAGACAAGACTGGATCCATCGAAAAATCCAAAATTCGTGGAACCTTTTCATGATTTTTGATGGCTCAAAGGTTATTTGATTGTCGGGAGGTTAATCGATTAGTGGACGATGCACGTTAATGGAGAGCCCATGTATGTAAGCGCCCAGCGGGAGCCAAAGGAGCCGCCACTTGTCAAATATCGGGACCAGTTGGTTGCAGATTTTTTCGCACATTGTTGGTTGAGGTGGGAACATGATATATATTCATATGATTTCATATTATTTCATATTCACATAAGGTAGATTTTGTATATATATATACACATACTTTATATATGTGTGTAGACATGCAATTTCTTTATAAATTCGAGAAGATTCAATTTTCTGTGCATTTTGATATTTTCTGTCATGGACGTTGGACATTTGAAATTTGTCGTCGAAGCGACCAGGCTATATATCACCATCCTAGATGGCCGGGTGCAACCAACTCTGGCCTTGGACGAGCTCTCTTTCAATGGAGGTCTCAATGGAAAAAATATCTGCACGATAAATGGGAGATTTTCCATTGCCATGTTACCGGAAGATATGTTGATGGCAGAGGATGTGCATGCAGATGATCATCGATGAATAGTGATCTGCACTATCAGCCTTTTCAAATCAGCGTTTTTACACATGTCGTTTGTGTTTCTTGCGAGCTGATCTGTGACTTAGCGACACTGCAAACCTGTTTCATCCTGAAACCGAACCAGATCTATGTCAATGTAGCAATAAAAACAATGCTGAGTAAATGATGCTTTTGGATGTAGTATGGGCCACTATACCTGACTCTGCCCATTCTCATACCCAAGGTCAAGACAGTTGGGGAGTTGGAAATGGCTCCGAAGCTTTTCAGCATTTGGAGCTAAGTAATACAAATGGTTTCAATCCAGCTTTGCAGGCACCGCTATTTTGAGGTCCAGATAATATCACCAGATAATATCACCAGATAATATCAGAAAATGTATTTGTGGCGTTGGTTACCCTTTTCTTCCAATGTAGCTGTCAAATGCTTGATGGATTGCATGCCAAGTGACCAAGGAGAGTGCCCAGCCCGGCAATTGCTTGCAGAGGGGGTCCCCTGCTTCAAGTAGACGCAGTGCTAGCACCAGCACCACCTGCAGTGGCCCTGTCTCTTGCCGATGCAGCGGATTGCTATTGAAGCTGCTGTTGCTCATAGGGAGGGAGTGACGTCCAAATGTACGCAACTGGTTGCCATTCTCGGTCTGTCGTCCATCGGGATTTTTTGCAGATTCACCCTGCTTCCCTTTTTGGCACTTCGTCGGGTTCGTAGCGATACGAGATCAAAATAGGGCTTGTTTCGGCATATCCACAGACCCATCAGCAGTTCCGATGCCACAGAGACGCTGTGTGGATCCAGCTGCCATAGAAAAAAATCCATGGTGCATTCAGGTAGACGAGCCCGAAGATCATGGGCAAATAGGTGGCCTCCCTTCAACTCCCGTCAGGCACCGGTGTCAAGAAGAAAGTTCTGCAAGAGGGAGGAGAAAACTTTGCGTGTTTTCCCAATTTTTGTGGACTCAAGAATTCAGAAAACAGCTATAGCTTCCAAGCTGCCAAACCGACAAACTGCTGTGCAAAAGATGTCTCAGCAACTGCTGTTGTCGATACTCTCCAGGCTTATATGGTGCGAAGGAAACCCAGACAAGCGCAAGGAGCAGATGCAGGTGGCTCCATGATGCAAGCTGGTACTTGATGTGTTCACCAGGAAACTCATGGGGTCGGCTTAGTGAAGCAACATTCCTCCACATGTACAGCCCTTGTCCAGGCCTGTGCTTCACAGCTGAGTCTTTCTCCTAGACACTTTGGGTCGCCGTCAAGCTTCACGCGCTGGTACTTTGAGCAGACCGGACCCGGGCAGGCTGGGAATCAGAATATGCACAACAACATTTTCCAGGCAATGTTCGGCTTGATATACCATAGGCTGCAAATATGCTGGAATATGCCAGAGAGGATGAATTGATACATGCAATGCACTGGCAAATATCAGGCTTTGCACGATTCTAATACATGTATAGTGTATGTATACATGTCTATATGCTTATATATGTTTATATGTACTTATGTATATATCTAGTGCAGTATATATATATATACATGTCTATATGTCTACTTGTTTACATGTCTACATGTCGATATGTATGTGTTATGTATATATGTATACATATTTATATGTAATATATATATATATATGCATGTATATACGTATAGATGTATAGATGCATATATGCACATGTATATATGTATATGTGTGTATGTAGATAAGTATACATATACATGTGTCTAGAATAGATGTTTCATATCATATTATATCATATCATTATATTATACGACATTATATTATAGTATATTATATTATGTGAAATTAAATTATGTTAAAATATATTGTGTTAAATCAGATTCTGTTAAATTATATTATATGGTACAATATAATATTATATGATAATATGTTTTACTATGTTTATTATATTTCATCATATTAATACATTCTAAACTATGTTATTTTTTAGCTTATATTCTGATATATATATATATATGTATTTATATATATATACTGTATATTATTTGGTCTTATCTTATCTTCTATCTTATCTTCTACGATGTTATATTATTGTATTGTATTGCATGGTATTGTATTGTAATGTACTGTACTGTATTGTATTGTGTTGTATTACTGTATACTATACAATATATACTATGTTGTTTTCAAAAATTGTGTTGTGCAAAAACACTATATTTGAGATGTACTATATACGACTTGTGAAGCCTCAGCGACTCTGCCTTACTCTGCAGGTAGCAAAGCTAGGGCCCGTGCTAGTCGTTGGCTGGCGCGAGGCGAAACCATGTCTCCCGGCTTAGACGTGGGTGCCGTGGCAGGGTGATCATCTGTTGCGCACATCTGAGAGTTCAAGAGAGTTTTGGAGGTGCCAACGTTTCTGCAGATTCACTATGTTTCACTGTTTCACCTGCCATGCGCCTTCTGGATCCCAACTTACAGCACTCTCTGACTCTCACTACAGGTTTTCTCAAGAGCTTGAGTCCGCGTCAGAGACTAAGGCGGTGCTGCTATCAAGGCAGCATTGACTGGCAACATGGAAGGCTTGCGGAACGACTGCAAGCGTCGCTAAACTGCACCATCAGTAGCATCGTGTGCCCTTTTCGGATTTTGCCGGCTTGGGCTGGATCATCCAAGAATCCAAGATGCTGCAAAAATCCTTCCTCATGTTTTTGAACAGGCAAGTTCCCCACCCACAACTATGAGCTGATTCCAAAATCAATGGAAGTATTGGGGGAGTTGGGACGTGTAAATTATAATACATAATATAATATATATATAGAGTGTATTTCCAGGTGCAATCGTATCTGGTACATTCAGATTTGCAAATTTTTGTTCATTTTTCTCATAAGAACCTTCATAGTGATTCATACTTTAGAACACCAGTTGTTTTTTTACGAAACTTGGGGCTTTTTTTCAGTGCTTGAGGTCCCCAGCTCTCACAGCAAGTGCGCGCAGTGCGGGTCATGATCATTCTGGCCGATAGCTCCACGCAAGGGAGAAAGGTCCGTGACCCTTGGCGTATGGCAACTTTCAGCTGGTGAATCCATGGTGAATCCCATGGGTTTTCGTCAAAATGAGTGGTGAATCCCATGGTTTTCCATGTTTTCCTCACATCATGATCATCATGAAATGAGGTGTGATATTTTGTAGGGGTATACCCTCTGGTAATTTAACATAGCTATCGAAAATGGCCATTTATAGTGAGTTTTCCCATAAAAAATGGTGATTTTCCATAGTTATGTTAGTTTACCAGAGGGTACGCCATTTTGAGAAATCCTATAGTGACATACTGATACATACTGTAACAACGGAGTGTTGCTAGCGATTGGATCTCCTCGTGTCATGTGCAAGACTGGAAATGTGCTGCTGCTGTTCAAGTGACAGACATTGATGGAGACTCCTAGATTCCCAGAAACACAAGAAGCTGGGGGCGAAGTTAATCCACAAGAACCAAATCACATATTTCTACAAGCAAACACTTATTACCGTCCTAGAACAGCCGCACTCTGTGGGTTGAGGATTGGATCAAATCTGAAGACTTCTTGAGCAAGATCATGCAGTTTCGAGTGATTGTTGATGTTGACAATCTTGGCAGTGTGCTTCGAGAATTTCTCTGAATTGAAAGTTCAAGACTTGAAAACATGCAACTGTTGCTGCAAATCCGCGGATGCTGCCTGCCTCACTGGACTTAGACTTGCTTTTTTTTGAGGCTTCCTTTTGATTGATGAATTGCATTTGAACACATCAATTAGTTTGCATAAAGATCCAATCACTATGAAGCTTCGGTTTTGATTTGATGGAACTGGACTTGCAAGTCTAAAGGTATCGGATTGTTTTCAAATCAGCTGAAAAGTGTTTGCTCTTGAAGTTGGTATGTGAAGGCTGCAGCAATGTCCTCCAGGTGAATCGGAGGATCATTGGCTTTCGGGAGAAACCTCCAAACATTTTTGGGCAACATGCCAATGGATGCCAAGGGCATCTTCGCAAGGCAAGGCACCTGGCATCCTGTCACATCCTGTCACATCCTGTGTTTCTTGTTGGATATGTTGGATATCATATACCTCAACCGAGCTGGAGTTCCAATGGAATCTACTCGTGGTGGATATCTTATACCTATCACAAAATGATCTCTGCAAAACGAAGTTCCAATATGATGCGACAAAAAACATACACACTTAGATAGTGCAAAACATCCTTGGAAAGCAGAGTTCCTTGGGGAGAGGCATGGGTAGGCACACCTAGGCGGCGCACCTAAGCGCACCTTGGTCTTGCCTACGGAGTTCCATGCGAGAATCCACGTTTTTACCACCTGAGCCTCCCACTGCCTTACTACTACATTTGCATGTTACTATCATATTCATGGTTGTGTGATTACTGGTAACATTCTATTCTGACCAACTCTGCATCACTTGCAACTGAACAGAAAACAGCTCGGAAGCCCATCGACAGCTTGCCTGCCTTCGCCAGAAGCTGCCGCACTTAGCCAAATCGCTCGGTCCGATGCAGAACGATCTGCAAGGCCGTTCAACTGGTGGACCTCTCACCTACCTGCGACGCCATGCCATCCATATCAGTTTGTGGGTAGGTGAGGAGGCCAACTGTTGCGGACCATTCACTTCGCTGGGCCAGCAGAAGCAACATGTAAGCTGTTGAAAGCTGGCTCGGAGGTGTCAACTGGCGACGATGATCCCATTCCCAGCGAAGTAATGTAAGTCTTTTGCCAGCAATCCACTATTCTTGCGAATTCCACGCGCAGCGAATTGAACCGACCCCCGTTGCCACTCCGAGTATAATTTGGCTGAGTGAACTTGGCGCCTCAGCGCAGAGAGCGTTCGGATAGAAAGGTCTTTGCGAGTCGTGGGTGGATGGAGATTAAACCTAGCATATGGGTTGGATTCACCAGCACACAATTCATGTCAGGAGGATAAACGTGGACTTTAACCAGCAAGAATTGGAATTTCAGCCCTTTTGGCATCAGGTATCGAAGACTAGATTCCAAGGGCTTGGATAGAAGACTAGTTTGCCCAGAATTCATTGGATCTCATAATTTGCAGGGATTTTGTGACACACAAAAGTCAGCTGCGATATGTGTGTTGCTGAAGTTGTCCCCCATCGGCCCAGCGGGATCAGTGGGAAACCAGTGGTTGATCTGCCAGATTCCCCCCGTGGCAAAGGCAAGTGAGTCGCCTTTTTCCTGGCCATGCTTGTCGAGGAGGTCTGGCTTTTTCCCCACATTCAAGCCATTTCAAGGCCAACTGAAATTCAGACATCTTGATATATCTGGATCCCATGCTGCAACTGACTGCAAGTACAGAGAAAAAGAAGGAGCACCGGGTTCAAGTCATTTTGAGTAGACCATCCCATTTTTGGTCCCCCAACAAATATGGTTCTATCATGTTCTATCCTCATTAAGCCAGCTTCCATCCTGAGCAGATTCAGGCGCAGGCAGAAAGCGACACCTGGCTGTGGGCCGATGCAGAGGCAGAAGTGTGGTAGGACCTGGTAGGAGGGTGTGATGAAGCTGTGTCCCAATCTTGGGTGATTGGGAGAACCAATGATAACCACCTTATAGCCACCTTAGACTGGAATATCATTCTTGATACATCTTGATACTGTTTCATGGAATGTAATGGATGGAATACTTCATCTTCAACAACCATTTTTGATAATCTTTGATTTGATAGGATGGAATATGGATGGAATATGGTGGTTTCTGGAGGATCCCCAAGTCGCTCTAGGTGCCTGATGAGCAGCTGCCGGATCCGCCAAGGCAGGTGACAATGATTTCAGGCTGAGATCAGCGATTTTGGATGATTTTGGGCCATTGTCGGATGTGTTATTTCAGTATTATAAATTGTTCATATATGTATAATATAGGTATGTATATATATATACACACATATTATGATATATTATGTATATAACATTATAAAACTGTCCCATGTCATGTTTGGAACCATTGTTTAGGGGATACTGTCATACTGTAGTTAGTGGATCCACCATAAACAGTTTGGCCGAACTGCCAATTTTGACCGTTTGACCGAACTGTGTCATGGCAGGATCCCGCAGCGTTTCAACCTCTCGCTTCTTCGCGATCGAGAGGACTGAGCCAGTACTGAAGTTCGGTGCAGCGATTCCCACCTCAGATGATTAGAAAAGTATAGAAAAGTGCTACAAACATCAAGGCCCAAACTGGAAAGGGTCGGCCCCTTTCCCAAGGAGAGCTCTGATATTTCAGCGCCGCCAGAGGTACCTCACTTTGCAGCTGAAGACCAACGAGTTTGGTTAAGACACACCCAAATTAATGAGTTTGGGGTACCCCAAGTTTAAGACACACCCAAATTTGTTGAATAAACGATGGGTCTTGAGAGTTTGAAGCATCCAGTCCCATTGCAATACTCGGGAAGAGTGATGGTCAAAAGTGTAAAAGGACAACCAAGACCATGGCCACAGCTGTAGGTCGATATGTTTTGGGACCTCGAGGTGGCCGATGAGGACTGAAATGATGTGGTGATGGTTCAGACTATGAGATCATATTTGGATATTACATATATATATAATACATATATATATATACACATACAGTACATATATATATAATACATATCTCTATATATATGATATATATAACATTATATTTAATATATAATGTGAAATATATATAATATTATATATATAATATATATATATAATATATAATATATACAATATATATAATATATATAATATATAATATATATAATATATATAATATATATAATATATATAATATATAATATATATAATATATGTAATATATATAATATATATAATATATATATAATATATATAATATATATAATATATATAATATATATAATATATATAATATATATAATATATATAATATATATAATATATATAATATAATATATATATACAATATATATATATATATAATATATATATACAGGTGGTGCCAGAATTATAGAACGGAGCCAGGAGTACAAAAGTACGGTAAAATACCGTACCTTCGTACTCCTCCGGATCCCGATTCCGCGCGGATTCGGATCCGTTCTATAATTGAGTTTCTCCGTTCTATAATTAAATTTCCCCGTTCTATAATTTCTGGCACCTCCATTTCTAAAATTAATTATAGAACGGAGAAAATTAATTATAGAACGAAAATGGGAAATGTGGGAAAAATGGGGGAAAACAGAATTATAGAACAACATAGGACGAACAAGAATTATAGAACGACGAAAAAAAAATAGGAGTAAGTTAAGATATGTTTTTTTTTCATACCTTCCGAGGAAAACAGAATTATAGAACAACAGGGTACGGTAAATAACCGTACCTTCGTACTCCTCAACTTCCGTTCTATAATTCTGGCACCGACCATATATATAATATGATATATATATATATAGTTAATATTATATATATATTATATATTATATATATATATTATATTATATATTATATATATAATATATATATATTATAATATATATTATATATATATATTATAATATTTATAATATATATTACTATATACATATTATGTTATTTATATTATATTATATATACATTGTACATATTATTTATATTATATTCTATATACATTGTACATATAATATATATATATATATATTATAATATATTTAATACATTTCATATAATATATATATAATATAATATACTATACAATATATACTATAGATAATATATATTATATATATACTATATATATTATATATATTATATATATGCTATATATATTATATATATATACTATATATATAGTATATATATAGTATAAAATCTTCAATATATAATATAATATATATATATATTATAATATATAATATATATATATTATATAATATATTATATGTATATTATATAATATAATTATATATATATTATATACTATATATAGTATATATAGTATATATATATATTGATATAATATATATATATATAATCTAAAATATAGCCGTTTCTCATTTATCAGCTAGATCAAGTCACCAAGGTTTAGATCCGCAGGCATATTTGCTCCCACAGCCCACAACATACCGTGTGCACGACTCTATTCCAACAGATGCCAAACTCGAATGGTTGTGGCAAGGAGAGCTCCTTTGAAAACTTTCCTCACGCTTGCTCAATGCCAAGGTGCCGCATATGGTTTTCTTTGCCGGGTAGATTTCATTTCCGGAATGCGTTTGCGGATGCTATTGTCATGCATGGAACTCCCTCATAGCCAGATGAGCACACGAGGGTGAACAACATCCTGATGTCAATCTGTGGATGAAGCGAGAGTCCCGCAGACTGTGGGAGAATTCATCCAGATAGCCTGGTAGAACCGCAGTTTGATGTGATTTGATGTGAAGATTTGCATGTAAGTTAGACATGGGTCATGGGTCGCATGCTGGGCATGCTGGAAGCGTGTGCAAGCATGGAATCATTTTGAAGCCTTCCCTGAGGCCTTTCACCAAGAAGTTGGGAACAGTTCAGGAAGAAGTGATGACAATTCAGGCAGGCCATTGACTGGTTTCAGATTTGGCAATGGATGGTACCTCTTGACCTACTGCCTTAAACCCATAGCTGGAATTATGAGTGTCAGAATGGGTGGTGGTAGAACCCGAGGCTATAAGTTTCTAACACAAACCTTTTGGCATCGTTCAAGTTGCTGTTAGCTATTGACAGTACAGCAACAAGAAACATCTGGGTTCACGCTGCCAGGATGTGCTGCTCAAACCGAGGCTGGGCAACTGGGCTCAGGATACCTGCCAGACCCAGGGGTTTGGGATGTTTGGGCTTCGGTCGCAGGAAACCGCAACTTGCGTGCTGTGACGAGACTGATACATTTGTGGATCAGGCGCGATCAGGAGGTCAAGAATGAACACCAGCGAGTCCAGCGAGCTAGTGATCCATTGTATCCATTCTGGTCGCATTCCAACTGTGAAGGGAGGTTGGATGGCTACAATTTTGAATCCTTACAGATCTTACAGAATCAAACATTCAAATTCAATCATATTTAATCGATGTTCTTCAGGAGAGATTTCCGAAAGGCCAGAGATGGGTGCAATGCGATTTCCCCTGAGGTGGCGGATTTGATGGAACGTGTCTCCCACAGTATTCCAAATGAACTCGATGGTGCGCCCCCTTTTTAGCTGTGTCATTACCGTGCACTCTGCAGAGCTGGCAATAGTAAAAATATGAATGCATGATGTTCACCTGCAGCTTGTGTCAAGTCATCTCAGTTGCTCGAAATCCATCAGAATCTATCAATGTGATTCAACATGTAAGATGTGTTTGTTTTTTGGTATTTTTTGTGTGCATCAAAAACACACATGTTTCTCAATGTTTCTCATTTGAATATTCCCCGTGGCCAATGGGATCCAATGGGATCCAATGGGATCAGATGGGTGCTGATTCCAAAAATCAGGTACCATCCATCCAACGCCGCGGTCCCCACCGGTCCTTGGGCGTTTGTCAAAGGCGAGGCCGAGCACCGTGGGACCGCAGAACAGACCCACACGACGCACCTGGCAGGGGACAGAAACGACCTTCCAGGACGTCAGCATTCCGCTGTTGAGGAGTGAAATGACCTCGGAGGCACGGACAAGCACCTTTGCCTCTGATGCCTCGAAAAAACCAGCAGAATTGGGAGGCCAAAGAAGGGCATGCGATGCCATTGCCTGGTGAGGACCGCTCTTCGTAACCCCCCAAAAATAAGCGGTCTTGGGTAGCAAAATACGGGATGATATGAGGGACGACCAACATATTTTAGAATCCACATCCACCAACATCCACCAGTTTGATACCATTTGATAGTGTATGATAGTTTTTTATTATTTTATATATTGTTATACTTTATGTAGCAAAAATCCGTGAGAAAAAAATAATAAAACATACAATTTTCAGGGGATTGTGTCATTGTGTCATTGTGCCCCTCCAACCTTGCTGAAACTGGGGCTGAGGAGGTGAAACCTGGAAGCAAAGCTGCTGCCGCTGAGGATGGTCTCTTCGGTGAGGCACCATGTCACCTTTGGATCCTGATGACTGGCATGGAAAATCCCACCAGCAGATGATTCACTATGATTTGGAGATATTTGGAGGTTTCCTAAAATGGGGGTACCACAAAAATCATGGTTTATGATAGAACATCATATTCACAGGGAAATGTTTTAATTGTGTACTGCATATCATTTCTTGATGTTTGATGCATTCACTTGATTTTTCAACTTCTTCCCCAACAACAGCTTGCAGCGGGCCAGGTGCCTTCCATCTACGACATGCTTCGCAATCAGTTTGCGGACATCAACCGCGAGAACAAGAGGTGCGAGGGCCATGGCGGTCGCCATGGCAATCCAGTAATGCCACATCTAGGTCCAACAAAACAGAGGATCGACACTGATATTTGTTTATTGAGGTTTAACATCTTTGAACATCTTTGAAGCACCAAATTCCAAACAGCATTCCTCATATTCCTCATCGCAGTGGATGATGACTAGAAAAACTGTTCACAACTATATACCAAATATGTTATACTGTAGATACCTGTAGATAGGCATCTAGGCCATATAGCAATCATCAACTATCTACCAACTTTTACTGTTAAGATCCATTGAGAATCACGGACCATGGTGACCAAGTTTGTCACATCCAAGGTATGTCACAGTGGCTGACTTCATGCAATTTGTGGAATGGCGCACACGGCGCTATGGTGGAGCCGGAGTCCCGGAGGGCTTTATATTCTGAACGGGGGGTGGGTTGAAAGGTGGAGGTATCTCCCAGATGACAGCCACAGAACTGGGATATACCAATTTGCCAATTATACAATATTACACAACATATATATATACGTATATAGTTATATATATATAATCATGTAATACATACACATGTGTTTTGGATATGCCAATCATTTGTTTATCCATCTCAATTACAGCATCTAAGTTTTAGTTCCTCCCTGTATTTATACTTGGACACACCTAATTTTCTTCAACAATGCCATGGTTTCGCGTCTACATGCAGTATCACGATCAAAAACCAATGCAACATCTGTATCAAAGGCCTCGAATGGCCCATCTCCAAGGTTCCAGTAGACTTTGATCGGCTCCTGCAAGAGACAGCGAAACGCACCAAGCTCATCATCTATCACAATCAAACATGATGATTGCAACAAATGCTGTCTTTGCAGCGAAGGCAAACGCGGCAAAAAATACCGCAAACACTTTTTCAAGAGCATTGTTTGATTCCTTGGGCATGGAATGGCATGGCCATGTTTGACACACGTTCATAAGTTGTTCATAAGTTCATACATTGACATCACAAGATGTTATAAGAGCCTTCTGACATCTTGTGACATCTTGTGACATCTTCTGACTGCGATTGCGTGAGGCTGTTTCGCTCTGGCTTCCGTGCGCGGGGAGCGCCTTCGGTCAGAGGTGGCAAGCAGGGTAGATGTGAGGGAAGCCGTGGCAAAACATGACACAGATGTGACCTGGGAAGATACTGTTACAACTCCTTTCTAAGCTGACGGGAACAGTGATGAATGGCAGTGAATACCAGTGAATGATGTAGCAATACGAAGCCATGACCGCCGTGCTTTCGGCCAGGATTGGCTTCACTTTGGCCTTTTGTCTGCTGCGGCTCCATGGCAGCTGAACAGGCATGGGCTCGGGGCATCTGGCCACACCATGTTTCATGTCTTCGTTGTTTCAGGTTGAAGGCGCTGATTTGAGGAATCTTTAAGACAGGATTGACAAGATGGCCTTGAGCATTTGGCAGCCCACCAAATCAGTGCTCCTCCGTCCTTTGGCTCGTAGTTTGATTCCGAAGCTGGCAGGTTTTGAACCAGCTTGTGAGTCAGCGACCAACTGCTAGGTGTATCAGGGTGCATCATGTCGGGCTACCGCCAGGACCGTGACATCTCGGGCCATACCGCCAGGGCCCCCCGGCAGCAGGAGGTGAAGGCGCCTATCCGCTCAGCCCTGGTGACCGGTGGGGCAAGGCGTCGAAACTTGGAGAAGAGCGAGGTCACGGCGTTCATGCGAGATATTGGACTTCCACAATATGCCGAGGTGCTGCGAGATCATGGTTTTGAGGACATGGAGACCTTGCTTGGGATCGAGGAGGAACATATGCGGGACATTGGGATGCCAGCAGGGCATATCGTGAAGCTGAAGCGACATCTGCGAGATGCAGACAAAGTTTCTATGGGAGGCATGAACTCAATGACCCAGATGCAAGTTGCTTCTCTGGCCCGGCCACTCCAGGCCAAAGGCTTTTCACCCAGCCAGTCCAACATGACAGCGGTGCAGTTGAGCTGGCAGCAGGTGAAACAGCTCGGCACAGATGTGGTCGGTGGCCTTTTCTACAAGAAGTTCTTCATGTTGGAGCCCTCTGCCAAGGCCTTGTTCCCAATGTCCATGCGCTTGCGCTACAAGGACTGGGATACTGATGAGGAAGAAGGAGAAGATCCTTCCAATTCCCCGGCACTTCGCAAGCTTTGGGCAAAATTCATCACGGTGGTTGGCAGTGCAGTTGCTGGAATCCAAGACACAGCAAAGTTGGTGCCCATGTTGCAACAACTGGGCATGCGCCATGTTGGATATGGCCTGAAGCCAGAATACTTCGACCTTGCTGGAAAGATTCTCATCGAAGTTCTGGCGGAGTGGCTGGGGGAAGGCTTCACCAAAGAGGTGGAAAATGCCTGGGTCATGGTGTCTGGCTTCATGGTTGCCACCATGCATGGTGGTTACCTGATGGCCGCAGCCGAGTTGAAGGCCAAAGAAAAGCAAGTCTTTGTGTCATCGCTGAAAGATTATTCACCTCCAGCTTCCACTGCTGGCAGTGATTTTGAGAGCAAAACCTCCCGCCAGGCCACACCTGAAGATGAGATCAAAGAGGATCAAACCTCTGATCGCGGCGACTCCCAAGTTCTCAGCTTCCATCCAGAGGGCTGTGAGTCGATGGCCTCACCCTGATGACTGGGCCAAAAGCGCTGCAGGTTGGTGGGTGACTTTGCTGGGGTGTATCCTATCAAGCGTTTCCAAACATCAACTGACCTGCACCGTTTTCCAGCTCTTGCGGCCCTATGGCAGTCGGCGCTTACAGGAAAGACGTGCACCCCACCGTTCCGAGAGCCGTCTTGCGCCTTGCGCACAATTGCTTTTTTCTTTTTTGTCTAGGAAATGACTTGTTTCGAGTGCACGGGCTGCACAACGTGGCGCTTCTGTTCACTCTTGTAAAGATCGGCATAAGAATTGAAGCAGGGAACATCGGAGAAAACATGTTGCTGCTCAGAAACAGTGCTGAATTACATATACAAGATTGACAGACTGTTAAAGTTTTTCTGAGTCGCAATCTCTGGAAGCCCGCAACTCTTCACACACGCTGGATGTTCTGATGCCAGGCGCTTGCGGCGTGAGCTGGCAACCGTGGCATGTTGATCAGCTTCCAAGAGATCCAGTGTTTTGACAGGGTGAATGACCTGCAATTCCTCCACCATGTGAAGCTTTGACGTAGGATCTCGTTTCTCAAGGGTAACGCATTTCCTGTTGCTGCCGTTCACTCCGAGGCAAAGACTAAGAATTGGGTTTCTCAAGTGCCAAGCGCTAGACAAAAATGGAAGTACAACCTGTGAATCAAGACTGGTTGGCGGTTTGGAACATTTTTTATTTTCCCATATATTGGGAAGAATCATCCCAACTGACTTTCATATTTTTCAGAGGGGTGGCTCAACCACCAACCAGAAGAATTGATGAGCGTACAGCAAACCCCACTGGCCCTAGACGATCCAAAGGGATTGCAGATGTAAGGGCCCTTTCATTGGCCCTTTCATCTCGCCATTGTGATAGATTCTATGACACAGGGCCTGCATACGTATAATTACGTATATATATATAATATATATATATAATATATATATATATAATATATATATAATTATATATATTATATATAATATAATATATATATATTATACATCTATATATATTATACATATATATATATATTATATAATACATATATATATATAATACATATATATATATAATACATATATATATATATAATACATATATATATATATAATACATATATATATAATACATATATATATAATACATATATATATAATACATATATACATATATATATATAATACATGTGTATTAATATATAATACACACACACATATATATAATAATACATATAAATATAAATATAAATATATATGAAATGAAGCAGAGACTACGAAAAACCAGATAAAATGTCAATGGGCGTCGGTAGGTGATTTGAAACATTTTTGTTTGTTTGTTGCAGTTGAGCAATATACATTGTCTATAATTTTCAGCGCTAAAAAGGCACCCCAGCAAGCCCAGCAAGCGTAGCTGGCTGGCACATTCAACTTTCTTTGTATATCACCTGCTTCCAGGGAAACAGTACAAAAAGCATGCATTGGATTTTGGAGCACCTTCTGTTCCTCGCCAAGTTTCCTCAATCCTCAGACACATCTAATTTGCTGATGGTTCATGATTGGTTCATGTATATGACCAAACTGATCCCAACTGTATTTCCTTGGGTTTTTGCACTTGAACACTGGTCACCACCAAGGGGCCTACGAATATGTTGGCCCTGTATTTCCTGGCTTCCTAGCAGCCGGCATTCGCACTGACATGGCTTGTTTGCAGCAACTTGAGCAGAAGTGACCGGAACCAGTACATCATATTCGTAGCATTTTGTAGCTACATCACAGTCGTAGCAAGCGTGCAAGAGCAGGTACAATATGGGTTTCGTCTAGGAAGGGATAGCCTAAGTAGGAAAGAAGAGCCAAACCATTGCAGATATGCCGTGGAAGCCCGTTTAATGTCATCTGAGAAAACATGGAGACTGATGCAATGTTTCCTAAGAGAAGGCCTCTCTTAGCCTTGTTGGAATTATTTGTACTTATGCATGTCTTCCATCCGTGATCCGTGACAATGCCATCACTTTTTCATCTGAGCACTGTCACAATTTTACACTTTGCCACAAGAGGGTCTGCGTCTGAAGCAGGTGATTCGGGTGATTGCTTCAATCCACGTTTCCAACCTCACTGGGCAGGCAAGAGTGACATAAGACACTTGGCAAGTAAATCCACAGTCGAGGGGTCGCTGCGGCTATGTTCCCCCTGGACTTGGAAGCCAGCTTGCTGTACTGTACTACATCCTTTGAAGAGGAGCAGCAAAGGGCATTTGAGCTATGGAAAGCACATTGGAAAGAGAAACCTTTCATTCTGAGATGGATGACTTTAGACTTACACCAGAATACCAGGACTCCTCGCTTTTTCAGAGGGAGCTCTTTGACACAGCTATGCTGAGGGTACAGAAGATCATGTACACCTACGGACTGTGCTTTGACACGCTACTAGAATACGTTGCCGGGGTGCTGTGTTTCCCATGTCAACCTCACTGGCATCACCAAGTTCTACTTTCTGGAGAGGATCGTGTCCTTAGACTCAAGATCTCCGAGTTCTCAAACGATGCCCTCTGGACTGCCACCCACTTGGAGACGCTGCTAGGGAGTTTGACCATCGCGTGCAGGACTCCCTTTTGGCTAAGAAGTTGAAGCATGTCTTCGTAGATTTCCAGCGCGTGTAGTATGTTTTACGATCGCATCAGCCACACTACATGGAGCAGTGACGTGTCATCATGCGCGGTCCCAATGAGTTGATGATAGAGACAAATCATATCAACACATCAAGTCAATCCGCATGTTCCGGGCCTCCTTTGAGTCAGGTGTATCGCATTCACGTCTACTGAGTCTACTGAGTCTACTGAGTCTACTGAGTCATGAAGTGCAAGAAACAGCGATGGACAACGCTACGAGTGAGCAAGCTTCGCTTGCTGCTTAAATGTTTGCTGAGGAACAATATGGCCTCCTGAATCCCATATTGGATGGGCAAAGATCTGGCTTTTCATACCGTGTTTTCCCAGAAAACCGGGCTCAAGGAGGAAGAGCTGCAATGGTTCTCCAATCAGTGGCAAAATTTGTCCATTTATTCTCCTGAGAACAGCTTGGAACTTGGGCTTACCACTTGCCTGTTCAGTCGCAAGGTCCCAAGATGTCCTAAGTCAGACCAGCTGAGAAAGAGTTGTGATGCTGGCGGTGCTATGTTTCATTCACAAAGCAGCTGACACTTATTGACTTATTGGCAATTGGCCAGGTGAAGAACCCTCAGTTTCTGAAACAGGCATGGGATGCAAAAAGGGACATCAGTAGAGCGATGACTGGCCGTGTCGGCTGCGTCGGGTACAGGTCCTACATGCATTTGAGACAGCAGATGTTCGAGGTGGGATCCGCCATGCTGACTCTCGAGGTGAAAGGTGTTATGAAGTCTCGCATTGGCTTTAATGTGTTATGCAACTTGTGACCAGATCACAACCATAATAATATGGTTCCTAAAGTATCCTAAAGTGAAGGGACCTGGTTACTTTTCATTGGGAGACCTCTGGTCAAATGGGGTCCCCCGTTTGAGGACCCCTACATTTCTGCATGAGTGACTATGGCTTCCCTCAGGTGTTGGTCGCTTACATCTGAATGATATCAAGGCACTGTATGGGGATATGAGGCTTCTCATGTGGAGCCTCGTACCAGTTATACTTCCAGTGTGAACAGCAAGCGGCATTTTGATGAGCGAGCCACTCAACTTACCATTTGTATTGTTGGCAAAGCGTTTTCAAAATCTGATACAATCCGATACATACAAGAAATATATACAAAAACAAAGAAATTGTTTCATTTTGTTTCTGGGTAGAAACACAAATGTCATAGTGACATGAGCAGCCACATGTCCCTGCATTCAACTCTGGACTTAAGGATGTGTCCTCAAACACAACAGGAATTACTCATGAGTAGCATTCCCTTATTATTTGTCAAGATCAAGGGTTCAAACCCTTTGTCTTGGGAAAAAATAAGGGAATGCTAGTGCAGAGGCTAGCTTCGTGAACTGCAAAGAGCTGATTGAACAGGTGCCGGTTGTGAGAAGTGGCCATGGAAACCAGAAAGAAGCCTCCATTCCAAACAGCGGTCAACCATCACAGATGCTTCTACGGGCACACGCATTTGCCTGTGATAGTTCCTTATACAACCTTTTCTCCCGGTGGCACTTGCGATTGCTTGAGCACCAGAGCAAAGGCCTAGCATGTAGATGCTTTTCAATCAGTTATGGAAAGACTCTGGCAAAGCTCTGAAGCAAATGCAAAACCTTGACGTACATTCTGTTGCATTTATTGTATGATAACATCAATGCTCTCTGCTATCGTCTTCAGGTAGAGCTGGCGGCAAAGAACCCCGGCCAAAGCCAGGAGTTCGAGGGCTACTGATGGCTCAAGGTGAATGGCCATGATTTTGTCATATTTTAGTCCTTCTCTTCAGGGGCGTGTATGCCATGGTCGAACCATTGTTTATTTTCCCATCAAAGATAGTTGTTTTCTTAATGTATATACATAAAAATACATCACTTTACAGACATCAATTATGAGGGGAAGTCTTAAAACAGTAGGATGACCATACCTCATGTAGCATGTAGCATGAAGCTTTCAGGAGCTCAGCTATTACGACTTTGTCGCGTATTGCTGGGACCTTAGTTTGAGCTGAACTTGGGGACCCATTACCTGTATGATTTATCTCACATGCGAGTAGTAGGGTCCTGTTGTTGTTTTTACTCATTGCAATTTATGTTTTATATAACGTACACTCAACATGACATCCGATGAGAGTCTAGTGGAAAATAAATGAATGCGGGTTCTTACTTTGACCTTTCTATATGTACAAAGCCTAACTAATAGCGCATCTGCCACCACCGATTTCCCACTTGTGCCTGAGGCTTGGGCTATCGTCGTTCCATGGTGAAGCTCAACTGGTGCCCTTGGCAGCGAAGCAAACAGGGATTGAACCCTGGGCTTCAACTGGGATATGGTGGTTAAAACCCACGCTATTGGGGATTACCTGGGATAGACATGGATACATTATTTCCCCAGATAGCTGGCAAGCTATAGGGGTTCTTACTTCTCAAAGGTGGGGTCTTCGGTGGCGAACTTTTGAGCAGGGTGCTGTGCAGGGTGCTGTGCAGGGTGCTGTGCAGGGTGCTGTACTAGTGCGGTGGCGAGGAGTCTGGCAAAGGTGCTGTGCAGGGTGCTGTGCAGAGTGCTGTCCAGACTGCGGTGGCGAAGTCTGGCAAAGGTGCTGTGCAGGGTGCTGTGCAGGGTGCTGTGCAGGGTGTTGTCCAGAGTGCGGTGGCGAAGTCTGGCAAAGGTGCTGTG